TTTTGTTTTTCTTTGTTTTGTTCCATCTCTCTTAAGATTAAATTCTGGGAATTGTCTGCAGAATGGCATTTAAGACATCCATGCTCTCTGTACTTTCAATGCTCTTACTCAAACCGACTAGATTTAGACAGAAAATGTGGCCTTTTTCTGACAACTGTCAGTGCAGGCCCGATCAGGGTGTGGAAAATGAAGCTTTATAGGTACTGAAGGAGTTGTGTGTGCCAGGTGCACTAGAAACAGACATGGAATTATTTGGTGATTTTTAACCGTCACCCAGGAACAGACCTCATTTCTTCCGGTTACAGGATCAGTTTGGGTATGCACAAGCAAGAGGAGAGTGCGAACCAGCTCAGCCTTCCAGAGGTGTACCTGCCAGTTACAGAACTCGCCTTTTCACCAGAAACCATGGAGGTGGTGCTGGCCAAAGGCTTCTCATTGCCAATTCCTTGGTGAAAACCTCCTGAAGCAGGATGATGTCACTTTAAATAGACATAGTTTGGGGGTTTTGTTGAGTGGGCAAATTGGACTTTGAGTTAAACTTAGGTTTTACTCTTTCTACATGCGTGAACAAGATGAGTGGATGAACGTATCGTATTTCTCCTCTCTCCCAATTTTGGGGTAGTCAGGTGTTTTTGCTGCTTTTCCTTTCAAATTTAGAATTCTGTAAGAGGTTTGTCTGTAACAAGCAACGTCTTATTTAAATGAAACTAATAAAGCAATGAAGAAGCTTCTATTGCAACTGTTCTTCTCCTAATTAAAGATTAGTTTTGTCAAGCAAGCAGTTTTTGGCTGTTCTCTTACGTATGGGTTTCACAATATTTCTTACTCATCTCGGCACAAGTTGTAGTAATTTATACATGCATCGTGCAAACACATAGAAGCTTAATTTCTTTTTTTAAATGGAACTAAAGTTAGGCACATGAATAAATATTTCCAATGTTGGGGCCCTTGTCTGAATCTAAATATTTTTGTCTTTGATCAGTTTTTGAGATAGCACATACTTGAATTCTGGCAATATTTTAGTATGGGAGGAAAAAAAACCCCAGCACGGTTATCTGAATGCTGTGCTATTTATGGTCAGCTATATTTTCAACCTCCCTGGCTAGGCTGGAATGCTTTGTACTGCTGGAAGCTGGGAATCCTTCCTCGCTCGGCTGTGTTTTGACACATTGGGTCTGAAAACTACGTTTTTCTGTCTTGGCTTCAAGCTGGTTATGAGGTGTTGGTCCAGTACTGAACGGTGCATGTGTGAGCTAACTTGAAATACCATTTTTTAATCCACACTGTTACTACTTGTAGGTGTATTTTTCTCACTTGGCTTTACGGTAAACAGACTTTTCCTAATGCAGCATGACTAACGAGACATACTTTTAATTGATGCATTTAAATTACTTAAATTATTTGACCCAGTATTTTAAAAACAAAATGTGACTTGGCTTTTAATTGTTCCTGGTATTCGAGAGAGTGGAACAACTTGTTTGAAAATGTGCTGATCTTCATCAGTTATCAGACAAAATGTCTACAGGGTTTTATTGTGCAGCCTAAACTTGCCAGCTAGGTTTGGAATTAAGTCTCCAGCTGTTAACCGCACCCTGCTGTGCCTTCAGCTTGCATGGTGTTTACAAAAGGAGGTGAAATACATCTTTATATTATATATAGTGCTGGAGAGTTTCAGTACTACTTTCAAACTTACTTCACAGTGAAAATAAGTTGCAGTGAAATAGAAATAGCTGTTGGATAAACTCATAGGGGCTCTTCTGTGTTGTTTGGTTGGTTATACACCATTTATTCCCTTATATTCTGCTTTCTGTGGTAATATCCAGGTGACAGTGTTTGGGAACACTGATGAAGAAGTGCTAGGTACTCTTCAGGTAGGAAACTGGGAAAAGAGGAGGAGGAACTTCTATACTGAGTGCTCCCCAGTCTGGCTAACGGGGACTTTAAATGCAGTTGTAGTCTGAGCTCAGCTGACTCCTCTGATTTCGGTGATTTCATAACTCAGTGGCCTGGAACCATATCAGGTCTGAGAGGGAAGATTTCTGAGGAGCTTCACCTCCAGCCTAGCTGAACAAAGACCACCTCCTTCCTACTCCCTTGGTTTTATGGAGTACCTCTGAAGTAAAGCAAGTGCAGGAGAGGGCCTGTAGCTCCCTCAGCCTCACCGCCTCTAATGAACGAGCTGCGAGTGCCCGAGAGGCTTTGCTGTGCTGGTGACCTGCTCCCTGCCCTGCTTCCCCACCACCTCCCTCCCTCCCTCCCTGCTTTGGAGAAGAAAGAAACGCAGGAAGCTGGCGGGCGGCCACGGGGCTCCAGAGCTTCCTGGAGCTGCTCCCGGCGTGCTCTGCAGCCACACGGCCCTGGACACAGCGGGGCCCGAGCCCAAGGGGACCCAGCGCTGTGCTCGTGCCATCCCAGGCCTGGGCTTGGGCGTCTCTTCCCGTGGGTGTTGGCATCAGTGCAGTCAGGATTCTTTGCTCCTTGCGAGTCCTGACCGTTTGTACTGAAGTTTGGTGCCGACGACTCCTGGCGTGGTTACGGCCTCACACTCAGGAGCTGTGGGAGTTTGGCCCCATGCTCACCATTAACGCCAAAGCACAAAAAAATTCCTGATGAATTAATATACTAATGCTTTAGAGTTCTCTTTCTAAATAGTTAATCTTGGTGGTCTACGTCTAACAAGTAGAAAGGGTTTACTGAACTTTCTAGATCTCTAAAATAGAACATTTGCACTTCATCCTTGAACAGGTAATAAATAACTCCGAACCAACCAGAGTGATACAATAGTGAACTAACTTTATTTTGTTCTTAGTTTCTTCTGCTGCAGCATTGTAAGCATGAGGCTCTGGGTCCCTGATAAGAAACACTATGGGATGAAGATTTTCACTTAAATGTTTCCTTAAAGTATTTGTTAGTAGTGCCAGGATTCTTTATGCAGCTCAAAAGTTGAAGTGCATTAGACCAAAAATACAGTGTAATCAACCTTAAACACTTTGTCCTGCCTTTGGAGGGATGGTAGTTTGTATTTCCCCAGATTCCTTTGTCTCCTTTTCTGCTTTTCAATGAAATGCTTGAATACTACTGCATTTGTTTACAGTGTTCAGACAGGGCTGGGTTGGCCTGAGATGACTTCTGTTTGCTTTGCTTTGGGATTCAGGTTGTCTGTAAATGGGAGGACTGAATGCTGAAGAGCTCTGTCCTCACAGGTGGAGCAGAATGAGGAGAGCCTTGACTAGCTCCATGTTTGTTATTTGATTCAGAGTGGATTTCCCAGACCTCCGAGATGAAAATAGTACTTTCTGGGGGCAGGAGGAAAGAGGACTGCCACTTCTTGTGCAGTTTATATGCAGAATTTTTTTTCTTCGATGAATTTACTTCTGTGCTGCTTTACCCATAGGTTCCCAAGGCTTGTGCAACCAGAGGCCCTATCTGTCCCCTTAATTTTGTAGCTGTTGCTGCGTATCAACTAAATTTGATGCTGTTATCTAAAAGATGGCAAGTGTCTTGATGTGTGTAATTATTTTCAGTAATAGACAACATTTTAATTTCATTTGCCTAATGTGTCATCAGATGCTCATTTCAGAGTTGCCGTATTAGTGCGTGCTTGCATAGGCAACTGGCATGTGTGAGCTGGCCAACATCTTGGGTGTATACGCATTTAATGGAATACCTGTTATTCAAAGAGAGGGATTAAGTTAGGTACTTCTGCTGTGTATCCAGTTATGCTTTTCATGTAAGAAGGAGGGAGTTACTGTAGCTTCTAGACTGTGCTATTTCTGGCTGGGCCGCTGTATGTATACTTCTCAAGGAATAGAGAATAGGTGACAAGGTGCCCCTCCATGGGGAAAGGGGCTTAAAAAGTAAGGTGTGCATTTTGGGCAGTCTTCTTGGCAGTGCTCAAGGAATCTTTTGTTGTGATGCTCTGAAACGCTCTCTGAGGATGGTTTGGTTCTGCACGTTGGACCAGTTTGGTTGGACAAGGCCATCACTCAGCCGAGTGAGTTTGGAGGTGGTGTCACTGGGACTAACCTGCACTGATGATGTGTTTTTTCTATTGCAGACTTACCAGGGGACTGCTGATCTTTACCAAATAGGGCTGTTTAACCTAAACTAAGGTTTAAAAAAAAAAAAAAGTCGAGTTGTTTAATGCCCTATTAACTTTTGTGGTATTAGGTTTCTTTTCACTTGGATCTTTTCCCTGCTTCCCTCTAACCTTCACCCCATTATTTCTTGGAAATCCTGTATAAATAGGAGAAACCGAATGCAGTGAGGATAACTATTATGTGTATGGGGGAAATTATCAGCTGTAGTAGTTGTAGATGTCTTCATTTAGAACAAAGAGTGACTTAAGTTATCTATTCTTTTCTTACACGTACACACAGAGCTCTCAATGTTTGTGTTGCTTTCCAGCCAAAGGATGTAAAAAACATTTGGAGCTAAACATCTGAAAGTTCTGAGAAAAAAACTAGTTCTGTCATACAAAGGCAGAAGTCCTGTATCTTTTCCTTACTCAAAAAAAGTGTGTATGCTACTTTTTCCCTTTAGTTACGGGTTTGTGTTGCCTATTTTATCTGTACGTCCCAGTAATACAGTTTGGCATAGTTAATATAATTTCAGCTTAACTCTACTCTGTTGTGGTTGTCTCAAAGATGGCAAGCTCATACAGTTTAATGAAAACAGTTAGAGATGTTGTCAGGAGGAGGTGGCAGCAGGAGCCCCTGTATTACCAGATGCCACAGAGCACACACAGGAGGGAGATAACTGCAATGTCTCGCTATAGATTTTTTCAGTTGGAGTTTGGACCTTCATTAGGTACCAGGTACCCAGTCCATAAGCAGGACAGAGAAATCAAGCTACATTAAGCACAAAAAAGACTTTTTCCCTTGTGAAGGCATTACAGGACTGTAGATTAACTGGTTGTATTTGAGCGTTGCTGTTGATATCAAACATCATACTGAGAAACTAAAGAAGTTGATTAAACTCATGTTCTTTCTTCTTTTCAGGTTTCCTCTCAAAAAACCTACAAGGTGAGTTGCTGGAGTTTGTCTGTTGATCTGCATTGCGAACTGTGATACAGAAGTTTTGAAGGAGGAATGCTTTAAAAAATAATAAATGTACAACCACAGATAGCAATACTGACTACTGATGGGAGGTAATTAATATCCAGATCAGGACAGGGTGCCAAAAATACACTTGGTGGTGTCCTTAAAGTGCATGGCATAGTGTTACCATTTGCATTTCTGTTACGTACGCTGGTGGGTCGTCTTACCTGGCATTTGAGATGGTCCGAGACGGTGACCCTACGTTGGTGGATGGGGTGCAGACACTTCCTCTGGGGGGAGGGCATGGTATTCTACACCTTTAATTTTTGCATGCACAGATAATTAAGGTTTGCTGGGAGTTAAATTTAAGATTCATAAAACTGGAAAAAACTCCTGAAATCTTATTTTGTTTTTAGAATGAAATGTCCAGGCGCTGAATGATAAAGAGAACACGCTTGCTGTTACTCATTTCAAAGGTTAACGAGACTGTTTCTAGAACCTTGGATACACTCCCAAACGTTCTGAGACGGATCATTTTTCCACTTGAATTCTGGGGATAAATTTTTTAGGTGAACTTAATGCGGGCGTTTTAATCTAGGTTCCTTGTCAGCAAACAGAACTAGCTAGGGTTGTTTCTTAGAGCCTCCTCCCCAGCGGTTCTGTGGTGCGGTAGTCAGGATCCTCTGCTTTGCTTTGGCGCAGACACGGCAGCATTCTGAGCAGAGAGTCTCCAGCTGACAAGAAGCAGAAGGTTGAACGCTGCAGTAGTACGCACGACTTCGATCCGACAGGTAAAGTCCTGAAACTTCACAGATTAACATCTCGACTTTAAATTTAAACATAGAAATGGTTTTGATGTGCCAACAAATGTGGTTTTCAGAGCTGTGCTCTGCGATGGCAAAGCCCTTCTGAAGCATGCGGGCATTGAAATGAATATGGGCTTGCTTTTCAACGTGCTCATCTACAAAGCAGCTGTTAACTGTGCAAGAATAAACCTAGATTAGTGGTATCAGTGAATAATTATAATTACTTCCTCTTTCAGAAAAGTCAGTCTGAAATTTCAGGAGGCAAATACTGTAATTAGTTGTGAGTAGTTCTTTTGGCTGGTTTAGTCCAAGTGTGAAATTGGAGATATTATAGGCCTGACTGGGGCTGATATTCCATATTGGGAGGTTTTTTTGAGCCTCGGTGGATTTTGATCCATCTTTGTCACTTGTAAAGTGAATGTCTACTTTCTAACATGACATATTTTAAGATGTCTATTTTTAAAGGATATGCTATCCTATTTTTTAACCTTCCAAAAGGTTAAATCTGGGTCAATTTGGTAAGCCTGTCCAGTGCTGCCTTGGAAATCAGGATGTGCACAGGGAGTCTCCATTCTCTGTCTGAAACACTACCCCAGTGCCTACTGTGTATGTTCATGAAATGCATGGCAGGCTCTTGTCTGAGCCTCCTGGCCCATGCAGTGTGTGTTTTTCATGTCTGTGCATTCTGCTGTTCAGTCCAGTCTTTCCCATGGGGCTTTGGAAGAGATGAGAGTTGAATGCAAAGGTGGTAGAACTTGCAGATTGTGTTTTCGCACAAGACATTTGAAGCTGATGTTTATAAACCATCCTATTTGTTAATGCTTTCTGCCACTAGCTGCATGACTCCTTCCTAGTGTGCGCAAAATAAATTTAAATGGGCTTTTAATGTCTTTAAAAAAAAAATCCTGTAAGGGAGAAACTCTGAATTAGTGCTTGTCGTCTTTTCCTTTTTCCTTGGGAACAGGTAATGTAAAATTATGTCAGGTTGGGGTAGAGGAGGGGAGGTCTCGGGCAATGAACCTGTTTTGTAGAAGGAATTTGTTTTCTTCAGAAGAAAGCTTCAGGAATCCTCTAATCTTAATTTGATGAAAGTCATTCCAATTCTGAGAGCAGTTACGTGGCACCACTGCTGCAATGGTTGAGATCTGGTCTGATAGATGACCTCTGTCCTGTATCCTTCATAAAATCCCTTTCTTTTTAAGCTGTGAATTCAGAATGCTGAACTACTACTATGTGTATGTCGGCTACTTACTCTGGAGATAAACGTTACCGGAGTTTCTATGCTTGGATGGCTTTTTATTCAGAATACTCTCTGTAGTTCATTGCAGAAGATTTCTCTTGTTGTGTCTCAGATTCTGTAATAGATTCTTTGTGGTGTTACCTGTGTCTTCATGCTTGTATTATTCACCCCTTATTCCAAGTGCTTCACCTATGTTTTGTTCACATCTTATTTGTGTTTTGCACAGTTTAACCTAATAAATCAGTCTGTGTTTTTCATGAAGTTTTTTTTCTCATGTTTGGTCTCCATATTTTCTATATCTCTCTCTCCTTCTCTCCTGCTCTCGTGCAGATAGCTCCTCCAAGAAGACAAAGTCTAGTTCAGAGGAGAGTAGATCCGAGACGTATGGTAAGCTCAAGCAGCTGCTGCAGCCCGGTACCTTTGCAGTCTGCTCCGTGCTTTCTGTCTGTGCACCCGAGGCTTTTATCCTTTACATGATCTGCATGGTTGGCTCTGCAGCAGGGAGTGGGAAACTGGGTTTCAATGTTGCTTCAGTGTATCAGCTTGTAGTTTTTGTAGTGGCTGGAAACTAACCTGTACCTGGCAAGCATAGGCTGTCACCTGGATTTTCCTGTTATCTGTTGATAGTTGGGAAAACTTGCTGGGGCTGCCCTTCTTGGAGATCTTGTGGCACCGAGTGTTTGTGGCATTGTATGAGGACACAGCTCGTGCTGGACTCCAGAAGAGTTTCTGTGGTTGTAGAGAAGTCTGTGTCTTGCTCTAACTGTAGAGGTTAATCTGTTTGAGCGAGCAATGACTTTTTTTTGCATTGTTTGTAGAGGATTTCGTGTCAGTTGCCTTTCATGTTTCACAGAAGTGGAAAAATGTATCTGTAAATAATTTTTAAAAACGTAAGAATATGATCTTCACCGTTCTTTGTTCGGAAGAGGGAGTATCTTCCCTGGCAGTCCTTTATTGTTGGTTATTACTGCTGTGTGGTGGGCTTGTATGTGACAGTCATGTTCCTCACAAACTGTAAATGGGTTTTGAGAGTGCCTTGATTTGCCTCGGTAGAGCTGGAAACCTGTCAGATTGACTAGATCCCTGCCTCTCGAGCCTGCATTCATTTTTGCCTAATGTTGCTTCCCCATAATATTCTGGAGGTGCTCTCACAGTATTGTAGGTTAATTACAGGAAACATTTGGTATGCTTGATGGAATGTATCTGTGTTTATACTTCTCCCTCAGTCTGTGCAGTGTCCTGGTTTTTCATGTGTGCCAGAAAGAAACATGACTTCCTAACGTAAGCCTTTACTTCCCCCAAAGCTTCCTGCAGATGCTCTACCCATGTCCAGTATCTATGGGAGCAGTTTCCACTCATCCTTCCTTTCCAGTGGCCTTTGCTGTGTTGGACCTTGCCCTGCCTTTTGACTCTGCCCTCTCTTTTCCCAGGTCCTGTGGTATGTGTGGAGAAGTCTGCTGTTTGCTTTGAAAGGGGCCAAACTATTTAAAAACCTACAAGTAGAAGTACTGTACTGATATTTTTCTGGCTGGTGACTGGATGTTAGCTGGCTCTCTCTTTGGCTAGCCATTGGAAAGTGAATAATAGGAAAGTCTTGAATGACAACAGCAACAGGAGATGTGGCTTTTGAGTGTGTTTGTTCTTACCCCTTGAAATTCTTAATTAAGGAGCAAGAGGCCAGAATTTCTTGAAGTATATGAGTGGCTTGGAGGTGGCAGAGTGGCTGGCTATGGAAATTGTTCTGATATACAGAAGCTGATCTATAGTGACAAGAAACTTAAGAGCGTGATAGTTTCTTCTGTAAATCCAACTATCTCGTATCTGTGTATTCAACAAAATTGAGGTGATCACAAGAGAGTTTGAGTGTAGTTTCAGATAGGCTGTAATTTACTAATTAGCGCCACAACCTCCCACAGTGCTTGCTACTTGTTTCTTGAAGTAGAATTCTTGTCTCTGAAATGCACTTAAAATTGAAATGAGCTTTCAGGGTGGCAGGTGAGATATCAGTTACTCCTCTTCCCTTTTCCCCATGAGTTGATTGCTCTCCAAGGATACCTTTATTTTCTGGCTGAAATACTAGACTAGACTATATACATATTCTTTTACGTATTCTCTCCAGCTTTGGGACAGGTTTTAAAATCTTTGTTTTGAAACCCCAGCTTTTTACTCCTTGAGCTGTTTTTCAACTGAACTGACTCTTCCTGTTTTGTTTCTTGCAGTTCTTGTCAGCCTTGTGTCTTTATGTTGTGGCCACCATTTTTTCCAGACCCTTGAAAAGACTCTTGGGAGCCTCTCATCACTGCCTTGTAATAGCAAGAAAGGGCTGGGAGTGCAAGGGGCACTTGACCACAGGGGTTGAATGTGTCGTTGCCATGGGAGCAGATAGTCCTATTTATCATGGTTAAAATACACGGTTCTTTTCTTCCAGAAAGGTTACCAAGCCTTGTTTTGTGAACGGTATTCAATGGCATTGTTATTAACAGTTTTATCAGGACACCGTCCACTACACTGATTTCAAACAATGTCGTTTTTGCTCTGACTTTACGTGACTGCTGTTACCAGGTTAGTGGAAGAATCTGAAGAGTGCTGCTAATATGGCACTTGGTGTGAACATCGTGGTAACAAGTAGAACTAAGTGAAATTCAGGATTTCATCCTATGAGAAATTTCCTTCATAAAAGCTGATAGATAGTTCTATTTATTCTGTGGAGCAGCGTTTCTGAAAGTATTTTATGGAAAGAAAGCTTCCCAAATGCAGTGGAACATTTGAACATTCTCGAAATCCCCAGGAGTTTGTTTATCGAATGATTCATTTCTAATCACTGTATTAAATGACATTTTCCTGTTGTAGCCTTACGCCTTCAGGGAGGTTAGAGTTCACAGGTCTCCTCCCATGTCCCACACAGTTTGATCAGAGGAAAAGCTACATTATGTTATGGGAGATGTAATTCATGTCTCCATTCTCTCTAGTGAGTCCAGTTTTCAGAATGAACCCCTGCTCTGTTTGTTATGCACTGCCAGGGAAATGGAATTCTCCTATTTTATTGAATCATTTAGAAATATTTAGGATCTGTAGAAGAGAAGACGGTAAATGATGTCTTTACTCAAAGCACACCTGGCAAAGCTGTTAGAGACGATCATTTTTGCCATGGTGCATCTGTGACCTTGAGAAATTTGGACTTTACCCTTCCTTGTTACCCAAAAGGCACACTCGTAGCGGGGCTGGAGAGCTGAGCCATGCAGTGGCAGAGGGAATAGTGCCACCTACTGAAGAGCTTTAGCTTTTCTTGCAGCTCTTTCTGAGCCTGGTAGTTGCTAACTGCTTTCATTTCTAATCTTAAACCTCTCTAACTACAGCCCATGGTTAACTGCTTTACTGTGCTCTTGGCTTGAGGTCTAACCAGTGAGTTTGGGCAAATATAATATATATAGATTTTGAGGTCTACTTCTTCCTCACAGAATTTTATGAATCCACTCAAGATATGAACGTGTAGTCTGAGTTTCGTGTACTTACAGCACAGATACAGGGATGTCTCCTCATTTCATGCCATCAAGATACTGTCATGTGGAAGTGAATGTGGCTGTAAGAGTATTATTGATTTCATTTCGAGTGCTATCAAGGACGAGTTCTGTTGACCCTGTAATCTGTGCTAAGCTTCAGCTGGGAAAAGTGAAATATCATGGTCAGATATTTCAAAATGAATGACTCATGATTTCTATCCAGGAAACACTAAGAATTGGGGAAAAAAAAAGTTAATGAAAAGCTGACTGCGGCTTGCTAACATGGGCTCTGCAGTGTTGCCCTGAACTCATAGACTCTAATTGAAGTGGGTGAAGTTGGTTTAGTTAGTAATTCAGTGTAAGAGTTTCTGTATGTACTTGTGATATCCAGACGTGACAGTAACAGCTACTGAAATCTTGACGGTGCGTGTCACCAGGCTCTCAGTGGTTTGTGGCTTTCCTTTCAGTCCGCTCCAGAGTGTCTAATGAGGTGTTCAAGGTACAAGACGTGGGTTATGAAAACATCGCTACTCTGGTCTTAAAATTCCACCTCTAAGTAGATTTCACAATGAATGTATTTTACTTAAATAACAGAAGTGAGCAAATGACAGATGTGGGGGGTTTCTTTGCTAATTTTTCCTCACAGTAAAAGAGAGCACTTGAAGGTTGCTCTTTTTAGTCTACCTGGTTCAGGCAGGGAGTGCTATCACAGCTGATCTAGCTTTGCAGGTAGTAGTGCTACTGCCAGAAAACTTTCAGATGACTTCATTAAAATCAGTATAAAGCTGCTGTATCGAGCTGCAAGCACAGTATCTCTCAGCTGGCCTACCTAAACCTTGTCCTAGCCTTTTATATTGTGCTAGGAGAAAAATTAAGCGCCTGCTTCTTGTGTGAAGGGAACAAATACAGGGAAAAATCAATTATGGTCTAATTGGAGTTTGAGTTGTCCTAATTTCAATTGCCTCCCCATTCTAAAGTTAAAAGGTGGTCTCTAGAATGAAATTGAGACTTGTCATGTGAAACAGTTTAAATTGATCTTTCTTGGAACTTAAATTATGCTCTGTAAGTTCAGTTTATGTTATAAATGCTTTGGCATCAGTTCGTTCAAGGAGGAAGCTTATCAGTAGATCCAAAGGTTATTGGTTCTGGAAAAGAAAGAAATTCAGAGGAAGAGCAGCAAGTGCACAGATATACTGTGCCTTTAAATCAGGACAGTTCTTATGAGTCAAAGATTAGTTAGTGCCTTACTCATAAAACCTGTATGTCTGGCAGCAGGGTTTAAAACGAGCTGTTTTTATGAAATAGCATATGTTCTCTTTCCCACACCCCACCCTGGGGCATCATTCTTGTGAAGTGAGACTTAAAGAAGCTTGGTCATATAGAAAAATGGGAGGTACAGAAGGGAGAGGCATGTTCTTTCGCTTAACCATATAAAGAGGGTGTGAAAGGTGGTGGTTTTTTTTCCTCTTGTCTACTTTCACCTTGCATCCTTTCCATCACTGTACTGCAGATCGCTATGTATAGCGTGATTCGCTTCTACTTTATCAGCAGAAGGGGAGTTACTGGGATGTGATACTGTGACCAGACAGCTGCAGAAGTGCTGGAATGCAATCTTTTCCACTACTCCCACACCCACTTCTGTATGTGCCACACTCGAGGAGAACAGGGCTGACTGGGCAGACAGTGTTTTCACTTGAGGCTCTTCATTTCCATTAGGAGTTGCTCCGGAGAAGTGAAAGGAGCCGTAGTTGTGCGAGAGTAATTTAAGACGTGGGTATGACTCCACACTCTGTTACAGTTCATTCCTTAAAAATGATTCCAGAAAAGACAGTCTTGTTCCACTATTCCTTTGCTCCCTCTGTACTAAACAAAACTGCTCCAATTTTGGTATCTGATTGTGGAGGACTCCAATTCTTTCTCAAGATGCTAGTGTAAGAATTTTGCCTGATGTGGCTTTAGAAATGGAGATGCAAAACAAGCTGTTAGAAATAAGGGTGATGTTCAGTAGCTGGTGGTTTCTGCTGTGTAAATAAAAGAAAATAGTGAAGCATTTCTTGGAGTTCCTGAAGTCGCTTTTTAAGATAAGCAGATGCTCCTAGGAAAGTGCTCTGCAGTGAATATACCAGGCCCGCTGCTTTGTTTTCTTGTTGCTCACTTGAAGCTGAAATAAGGGCAAAACAGACATACACAGCGTTGCACCTTTTCAAAGCGCTGCACGTACTGAGTACATTTCTCTCTGCAACAGTATTTATGTTCACATTATACTGAATAATCCTAACTCTGGGAAACAAAACAATTTGCCTTTGATGCCACACAGCAAGTTAAAGGAGGAGCAGATTCAAACCTGCATCTCCTGGGATTTTGGCCCTGTACTTCAGAAGCTCGGTGAGAAGCATGGTCTTGATTTCAGAAGTAGTTCAGTGTAGTAAGCGTGGCTTGTACTTCTCCACTGCTGCTGGTTTGGTTCTGTGCAATGTTCTCATCTGGAACAGGAGGTGCCCTGAGATGAGATTTTTGGTGAGAATTGGGAGAACTTTTCCTGGTCAATAAATCTGTTGTAGTCCAACCTGCCGATGTTAGTCTGAGAGATTTGTGACTTCGTGTTTGGAGTAGTTTGTAAAAGTTGTTTGGTGTTCTTGGTGGTGTTCTGGAACATGAGAGGCCGCTGCCATGTTTTGAGGAACTATTAATACAGATAAAGGGAAACTGCTCATTGGTTCACGTACGTAGCTGCTCTTCTTTAAAAGCTGCTTTTACCTCAAGTTGTGCCTGATGTGCCAGAGCTGTCTGCATCTCTGCTGTTGTGTATCTCTGTTTTGTGTAACTGAAGCAATAAGCTTGACCTGTCTTGACGTTCCTGTCTGTTTTTGGACTGATGCCCTGTTTCTGTCTCTTATATATTTTTCTCTCTGTTCTATTGTACCAGTTTCTTTCAGTGCTCTGTGATTATCTAGGAGGATAAGGTTTTGGACTGATGCCTAGCTTGTGTCTCTTTGTATTTCTCTCCTTCTCTTTCTTTTGCCCTTTCCCCACCTTTCTTGTGCAGGTCTCGTTCAGCGCTGCGTTGTCATCCAGCGGGATGAGAACGGATTTGGGCTGACAGTCAGCGGAGACAATCCAGTCTTCGTGCAGTCCGTCAAAGAAGGTGAGCACCCTCACTAAACGTGCTGATTGGAGAGCAGTCGAGAGGGTTTCATGTGAATCAAAGAAACGTGCATGAACTGGAGGGGAAAACTCCAAATGCCTTCCTCGTGGGTGGGATGGCTGTAGCTTGGGTGTGCAGAACGGAGAGCATTGCACTGTTGGGATGCAGTGAATCGCCTCCTCGGTATCTGATACATCTGGAAACTGGCCTATTGCATCTGAGAGAGGAAGTAAAGGACTTCGTGAAATTTGGTGGGTTTGAGGTTTGATGCATCCACTGCAAAATGAGAACAGAACTGCTCTAGTCTAGATACTCAACAGTTTTAATCTGATAAAGGCAGAGGAAGCTGGGGTGAGTGTGGGCAGTGGTTTTGCATGCAACTGCAGAAGTGCTTAAAGCATTTTGCTTTGAATGTTTCTACTGAAATTGGAACTAGATGATTTCTTCCTTCTCTAGATGGAGCAGCCATGCGTGCTGGAGTGCAAACAGGTGATAGAATTATTAAGGTAAGGCATTCAAATCATCAGAGAAATGAACCCTCAATATTAAATGAGCTCT